AAACTTTAAGAAATCGATTGCAAAATCCTCGGCTCTGTCTTTGGAAGACCTCATTGTACCGTTTGTAACACTCTTGCATTGAACGCGCTTTAAATTTTGCCATTCCTTCCCGATAAAGCGTCTCGGTTGTTTTCCTTACGATTGTTAAGGCTGCTACTCGAGAAAAGCCACAGCTAGACGGGCAAATAAGGGTAGCAACCATGCTACTGTACTATTAAATATACTATCGAGCGAAAACTGTTTGCGAGCCAATTTGTCAGTCCGATAACTGAGTGTGAAGTTGGCACTATTTTTCTTGAGCGGTATATTATATGCACACATAAATTATGAAAAGATCATGTTTCAGCGCTTTTTTATTTTAAAAGATAGCCTTTTACAGCAGTTTAATTCATCCCATGCCTTGTCGTTTCAGAAGACTATAAAACAGGCACAAATACTCTCAGTTCCTCCCGTTCGGGGCGATGAATTAGTCTGAAAATCTAGGAAGCTAAATATTATTCATTTCCTACCAGTTCTTTTTAGAAAAAAATGAATTTTAGCCCACTGATTACAAGATTTGAAGCAATTCGCTTCAAGTAGGAAGATGGCTTCCCTGTCCACCATCTTGCATACCTCTGTATTTCCATAGCAACAGTAGCATCCGCTGTTTAGGTGAACCGTACATTCGGGAACAAATGGCGGCTAAAATCTTGCAGTGACTGACTTCGCGAAACCTCGTTGCAGGAGCATTTTAAATGAACCTTATACGCGTGTTTACTGATAAATACTTTCATCGAATCCCATTAAACGTGTTATGTACTGGATAAGCAACATTTGCGGAGGTAAGACAATTCTTGTAGTTCGACATTTGTCAGTACTGATTAAAAACAACCTTAATTTACATAGTCGTTTAAGGAGAAAGAAGAGACATCCTTGCCAGTACATTTTCGATTCTTCGTGTTATGTTTTATCTTCAGGGCGATTGTGGTACCTTAAGGTAACTGAAAAGTACTCCTGCAAGACAAGCAAATATATTGGCGGGAAAATGTTCATTAATGTATCACGTGATATGTCTCTGCCGACAGCTGGTGTGGGGAAAAATAGGAAAACATATTTCGCAACGATCTGACGCGCAAAAACTCACCTATCCGAACTGCTATTTTTTAAATATTATTTTTATTATTTTTGCCTATTTTTGATCTTCACCCAGGCCTTAATTTACCTGAGAAGGCATGAAACCAAATGTGTTCAAATTAGTTAGGACTTCCCAGTTTTTAGTCTTTCTTTGCTTAAAGTGGTTTGTAAAAGATAAAATCAAATTTGCATTGGACTTGGTATATTTCACGTCCAATCAATAGTACTCGACAATCAACGCAATGTATAGTGTACCAATTCGCAATGATTCTTTGTAAAACGTAGAAATGATTTTTGATGTGTTTATAATTTTCCTCATTTTTAGTTATGATTGATGTTTGAAACTAGTTACACGAAATGAAACCTGTTAAAACTTTCGTCAAAGTTCACCTATTTGGTTCTCAGCTGGTGGTTTAGACAACTACCTCGACTTATTGAAAGCGAGGTATTGTCTCCTTGATTGAAAACCAAAAATGTCGGC